TCTGTGAAGTATGTATGCATGAACACGATCACCCATGAGCCTGTATTCTAAGTGTGCACATGCTTGTGAGTGTGAGATGTGCCTTGTGGTGTGTTCCTGTAGGATGGGTGTGCACAGGCATGTGCAAGCATATGCTAGTGTGTGTCCTTCATCTGTGTATGTGTGTGCTTGTGTATGTGCATTTGTGGAGTTGGGTGGAGAGATGAAGCGATTTTCAATTGTGTGTGTTGTGTGTGCCTAAAGATAGGGAATTGGACAGACTGTCTTCATAACCTCCTTCACAGTTTCACACCTTTCTCTGCGCGAGACAGGGTGTTGGTGACTTGCACCCTCTTTCAACTCAAAGTGAAGAGCTTTGAACTTCAGCCGGGGACAATGCCATTTTCACCTTGCTCCCTTCCCCGGAACACTTCTGTTTACCGTGTTGTGTGGCAGCAGAGGTGAAGCTCACCGGCTTTCATTGGCCTGCTGTGCATGTCTCCTGTGCGAACACTTTCTACCCCAAACCAAAAGCACCTTAGAGTATCAGTCAGTCAAGAGCAAGGCTTCGAACATTTATTTCTACTGCTCCATGTTCTTCCTGTCTCTCTTGTTATGTGATGGTTTGGGCTCCAAGGTAATATCACAAGTGATTGAGTTTCTTTGGAAAAGAAAGGCATAAAATAGTCTTTGATCTGATCTTTTACTAATATGACCATTTCAAGAGCATCAATAGTTTCTTTTAAAGGAACTATTTTTATATAATCTTTGTGAAGTTCATTTCATGCCTGTGTTTAATGTAAACTTAGTATTCTTTGGCAAAAAAGACCAAAGTAGACTTTGTGAGCCCCTTTCTTTTCCTCAGAAAGAGACATCTGCTCGCCTTTGAGACTTACCTTAAAATGCTTTCTCTGATATTTTTAGTGTTTGGGGCATAGTCATTTTTTTTTTAATTTCCCTTTCTCTTCTTCTTCTTCCACCCATTCTTCTTCTTCCTTGTTCTGGTGTGGTTAGTTTTCCAAACTAGCTTTTTCTAGTCTGTGAGTATTTTGCAAAAAAGCACTGAGTTGACTCTCAAAAAAGGCTGGAAAACAAATCAGGAGCCAAATGTGTATCAGGTCTGACCTCCTGATCTTAGAACTATTTACTGGAGACTTCTGAACTTCTGCAAAATTGTAGTCTGTGTTCTACAATTAGGAGCCAACTCATGTGTTACTTTTCTTCCCCTCTATTTTCTTTGTGAAAGACTGAGATTTTTACTGAATTCTGCATGCCACTAAATTATATAGTAGATTTACCATAAGCCCTTATTAATTGTCACTGAACATTCATGAAGAACATTTTTTAAAACTGATTTCTCCACCAGTTCAGAGTTGCAACACATTCATGTAGTTGATTTGCTCCCACTTTGGACCAAAACATCTCAATTCTAGATTATCCAAGAGTAAACAATATGCTTCAAAAAAATAGCCATTAACACTGCAGACATCGAAAGTATGCAGACTGCACAAAAATTTCTAGCCACGTTTGTTTTGCCAAGTCACATTCAGTGATGTTGACGTCATGATAAAACAAGAAATGGAAAAGAGTTTCCCATTATTATTTCAAAGAAACACAGACTTTCAGGGTTTCTTTCAACCCTTCTTCAAGAGGAGTATGTGCAACTCCTTTGAAAGAAATGCTGGCAGATTATGTGYTTCAGATGACAATGTCAGAGATTTGACTTGATCAATAGGATGGCTGCAGTGTCACCTTGGTTTGCCCTTGATCACTGGCTAGTCTTTCTGGTCTTCCATACACGGTTCAGGTTTGATTGAATATCTCCTTCACTTCCAGCATGATACACCCTTCATATTCTTCTTTATCCTTCATTTTACCCTTTCACTAGTATGGCAGAGTGATTTCTGCTAGAGTAGAGGTTTAAGGTGTTACCAGTACCCAGGGAAGCGTTCCCCGGGAGTCTTAGGTCCAGTTTTATTGAGCAAGACCTGAGAGTTGGCAAGCAAAGCCAAGGTTTATTGAAAGCAAAAGTTCACTCTGGGAGAACAGAAGAGGCCAAGCTGCAAAATAGCTCAAGGCCCCGTCTATACAGTGGAGCTTGCTTTTATTTGGCTGTACTAGTTCTTCCCCTTTTCCCCCTGGGTGGATTTGAGGTTGATTGACACCTTGATTGACAGTTGAGTCCAACATAATTGCTTTTCTACTGTGCATGCGTAAATTTCTCTTTCCCTGGGAAAATGCACACAGGGGGAGCGAATCCAATATTAATAATATGAAAACGAGGCAACAGGCTAACTTCAGGTCAGCTCTTTGGGTTAT